TTCTCGTTTCTGAGATATGACTGCAAAATAATTTGATAATTAATGATGTTTGGAAAATATATTGAATGAATATTAAGCACCACGATTCATGCGACAATAATGTATGATACTTGATTCAGTCGGCCGTTTGGTGTAGTGGTTATAAAACGGACTACTATGCCGAGAGGTCCCGCGTTCGATTCCCGGCCGGGCAGAAATTGAAATGATGAATTTTAATTTCTGTGACGGGTCTGGGTGTTACTATGTATAATATTATTATGTATGTATTTAAAAAAAGTATAATTATGTACATAGTATAGCCGTTAATCTAGTACCCATAACACAAGCATATTAATTGCTTACTTTGGGGCTGGGTAGCGCTGTGTGAAATTGTCAAAAGATATTATTTTATTTATTTATTCTAGCATTGACAAATTAATATTATGCATACTGTGACAAATTAATGACTGATACTTGATTCTGTCCAGCAGTGGACGTCATTTGGCTGAAGCGAACGAACTTGATTCTGGCATTGACTAATAATATGCATACTGAGGATCAACTGGTTTGTTTCAAAACTTTACATCTTATTTTGAAAATATTTTCATTTAAGGTAAAGTTTAGAGAGTAAACATTAATCCCCTTACTAATAAAAAGTTAATCACTTGTTGAACACTGTTTTAAAATAACTTAATTCCATAATAAATCACGTGTGATCAATGAGTGTGTAAATTTTATTAGTAAGGGGGTTAATGTTTACTAATGTAGCATACTATAAATCATTGAACTTAATGACGTAAGTCAACATATGATTAAAACTGACTCATTAGAATACCAATGCTAAAAATTCTTCTTAATAAACGTAATTTTTTTTCCTAAGTTGTCGCTTAACCTGTCCCTAGTACGGCATTTGCGTTCCGTTGGACAGTGGAAACAGTGCACCCTCCGTTAGACAGCTCCTGCGTTTCATGGGGCCCTGGTAGCCCGGTCGCGCCTGTTCCCCAGAACGTCAATACCAAGGCGCAGAGACCACGATCGATATGCGACGTGCGCGAGCCACCTGGGCATTCCTCACCCTTCAGTTGAACGACCACGCCAATGGTATGTAGACGTCGTTCGCGAAAACAATAAAGGTCGCATTTACACGCCGCATTTTTATAGACTCGAAATATGTGAAGACTGTGCAAGTGAGCGCCGTAATCTTTTATTGAAAAGTAAATTGTGAGGACTTTGTATCCTGAATAATCCTGATTGACAAGTGAAGAAAACATAAATTGGTGAACTTGAATAACATTATCAAGGTGAATACTATACTATACAAAATCCGTGATATTAATGTAACTAACATTACATCATTAGAATCAATTTAATAAAATTACTACCTGTAGTAAGAATTAGCCTATGCGCAGACTATTGATTTTTCGTCGTCCGATAGTTTAGTCGGGCAGGTGATCAATATGGGCATCTAAGGAAGTGCGCACAATACGCCGATTCGATTTGGCCGATTCTTCATACAATTTAAAATCGGGCACAACTATCGGCCAACTAAAAATGGATGGTCTGCGCCTAGTCTTAAAATAATTATTAACCTCGCACTAAAAAATTTACAAAAAATGTTCCGAGCATTCAACATCTCAAGTGGCAAGCGTCACCGGTAACAGAAACCAAATCATTGAAGGGTCATAATTGGAATAGCTTTTCGATAACTCGCACTCGAGTGGCGAAGTGAGTCGACGCAGCCGAGTTCACGTGTCATCGCTAGTCGAGTGCGGTCGACACAATTTACGGGCCTGATGATAGCCATGAGTCATGGGAACGATCAGCATTCAGCAGTTCCTGTAGATAAGTTTTTGTAGATGTTGCTGTCACAACTACAAGCTTCTGGGGTGTATTATGTCAAGTCTATCAGCTTATTCCGTGATGAGATGATAATAAATTGATCCTTAAGATTTTTTCCGTAAGTCGTTTTATGACGATCTGTGACAGACAAAATTTAGGGGAAAAAGCTAGTTAGCAATAATTCTAATGGTAAGTTAATAATAATCAATAAAAGGCGTTTGTTTCCCGCAAAAATAAAACTATGTGAATCAATAATGTCTTGGTGAAATAAAAATGTAAACTTGTTTTTATTTTGATTTTTAATGCATTGTATATATCATGCAAAACGGGTTAGTAGTAGTTTCGCACGATTTTCCTTCGCACGAATGTGAAAAACGTCCCCTTTCAATAATAATTAAAACGATCGGTGTATTTGGGTTGAATATATTACAATAAAAAAAATTAAACAGTTATTTATTCAATCACAGATTAATATAACATTAAAATTAAAATAGTAACAAGAAGTGGTGAGCAGCACTGAAAGGGGAATTTTAATAGAAATCAAATACTTATTTGATTAATTAGGACATCTATATCTATATATATAAAAGAAAGTCGTGTTAGTTACTCCACTTATAACTCAAGAACGGCTGAACCAATTTAGCTGAAAATTGTCAGGGAGGTAGTTTAGAGCCAGGAGAAGGACATAGGATACTTTTTATCCCGTTCGAAATAAAAAAAAAGTCTGCTTATTTATTGCCATTAAGGCGGAACAAAGTTCGCCGGGTCAGCTAGTTTCGAATAAAAAAGACTGAAAAAATATTAAAATGTTAATTAGTTTCAAATAATAAATTCATCAATCATCATCACGCATCTGAAATCTGAATTGCAGTCAAGTTTTTGTCGCATGAGTCATGTTGGTCCCGGATCATTAGTGGAACCGTAACAGCCCACACGTATTGCTTATAATTTATTTTGTATCAGAAACTTGTTTGACAAATTAATGGTTAAAAGCAGCTCTTAACCCACAATCATAGGGTCACATGAAACAAAGTTATTGACCAAACTCAAAATGTACAATGTACATACAATAAATTAATATCATTTATTTTCTGTGAGATGGCTTTTAGTAAGTCTGATTACGGTAACAAAATTTTAACTTAATTTTAAGTGATCCTACCTACTTAACTACTTAATACGTGTAAATCAGCCTTTAAAGAGCGCTATTTTATAAAATCCTACATTGCATTAACCCTACTATGCTTAGATATTAGTGATAAGACCCTTAATGTACCTACACATAGTATGCAAATAAACAATTTGAATTTGATGTCTATATTGGCCAGTCTGACGACTGGAATCAGCGCAAGAAACTCGCAATCTTTTAAAATTTATGCCTAAAGACGCTATTGTTCAGCGTATTTTCCAAATTTCTGTTTCATTATTTATCAAAAAATTATACATTTGCCCAGTAACGAAAAGAGTAAAGTTAGATTTTTTGTGATTTGAAGGATTCAAAGGCGAGGAAGTTATGTATCAAAATGAAGCCCTTTACGAATCGTGTATATCCGCATTCACAAACGATACTTGCTTAAGTGAAGCAGCAAATCGAACGCACAGCGTTGAATAGAGCTTTGTGATTGGTTCGTATGTGACCCAGTGCGTCCACGCGCACTGTGAGACCTCATAGTAATGTTTGTGAAGCGTTAGCCCTTTACGAGACTAGTTTACCACTTTAATGTTTAATATTACGTTTTAAGATCTGAAAACAGTGAGATTTCTTTAAATCCATGCCCGTATAAGGGTTATCAAATGGAAAACATGCTCCCATTTTTATTTGACGTAAGCAGTGACGTCATAGAAGAATCATAATTAGGGAGTCTTCTTGAAACTGACGGGCAACATTGTAAGCTCACGTAAACATTTAAGTTCACAATAAACAATTTGTTGCAAAGTAGAACCTATACCTACTGTAATAAGATACTATAATGTTTGACTTGATGTGCCGTCGTATCTTAATTATGTTTCTATTGTTACAGATAGCTGAAGTCGGCACCTGCGTGTGACTTAACTGATAATCTTAAGTTGATTGTGCAAATTAAGTTGTGATTCAATGTTGCGCAATAGACCCCTACTTTGTTATCATCATCAATAGCCCTTTACAGTCCACTGCTGGACTATGAGCTTCCTCCACTATAGTGGAGGGTTTTGCCATAATCCCCACTGTTGGCAGGCGGGCCCCATTTTGTTATACTGATAGGGTAAAAAGATTGTAAGACATGTAAAGGTCTGAAGGAGCAAACTTATTTTTTTATTATTATTCTTATAATAATAAAAAATAAGCCTTTTTTTTTCTTTTGTAGTATATTTGATGATTTGTAAGTAAGTTTTTAAATATAGGTAGTAGTAAGTATAAATTAAGCTGAATGTTGTTCATGAATTAAAACATTTTTAACTGGATTGGACTGAATTCATTTAAAAAAATCCTATCTGCCTCTAGTTTTCTTTATTCCATAAATGATAGGTAACACAATATTTCCACAAAGAAACCTGTGCCTTCAATAAGTGGGTAAGTGATATTTATTATTTTCTTAACATTTCTATAAACACTAATAATTTTAAAGATTTTGGAAAATGTGCCCGAATATAAATTAAGGAAAATATCAATCAGGTCATGCTATAGTTTGTTTCATCTTTGTATGTAATAATATCAACATTTAGCAAACAGTTTACTTTCTAAATAAGATATTCTTTATCCTTATTAGTTAGAAATTATCCTTATAATTTATCCTTGCATAACCTTAATGAACCGATGACCATTATAAGCTACTCAAAGATTTTTTTCGAATTTTGTCTCAGTGGATAAATGAGAGAAAGATTTTTAAGATTACCGATGCAGGTCGTCTTGGCAACTTTTTACATGCACATTTTTTTGGTGAAATATAGGTATTTAGACCTGATAAAACCTAAACAAGCTTTTCCTCGTACTTAAGGTTACCTTGCTACGTTCCTGGTTATAATATTCAGAAAATAGGAATAAAAAGTTGCCTGTCCAATGAAATCAGCTTAAACTATTAAACATTTCTACAGGTTTTGAAAAATGTTGTCCAAAACAGGTACTGGTTATATTTAAATAAATGTTTGCAGAGCAAGGGTTAAAAACCATTAATGAAAATTCTTGTCTACGGTCACGCTCAGCTTTACTATGAATTATAAATCAAAGACTCACCATGCTCGTTGGTGACGGCGTACTGGTAGTTGGGTATGAGGTCAGGCAGCTCGTGGTGGGCGGGCAGCGCCGGCGCCGGCGGCCGGTAGCCGTCCACGCCGCCGTACAGCGGCCACTCGCGCTCCACGCCGTACGCGCAGTACTCGCCGCCGTACAGCTGCTGCCCCGAGGACCCCGCGTGCGGGTACGCGCACGAGCTGTAGTCCAGCGAAGACCCCCCGCCGCCAGAACCACTCCCGCCCGCCAACTCAAAACCACCCTGCGACGGAGGCAGCGCCGCCACACCACTTCCACTCAAGTAACCCCCGCTCCCGAACTGAGGCTTCAACGCCTGGCACTTGCGGCGGAACCCTCGCGGCCTTCTTCTGAACGACCCCTCCTCAAACATGAACTCCGACGACGGGTCGATCGTCCAGTAGTGCCCTTTGCCCGGCCGACCCAGCCCTTTCGGCAGCTTCACAAAACACTCGTTCAGGCTCAGGTTGTGGCGCACGGAGTTCTTCCAGCCCTGGTAGGAGCTGCGGAAGAACGGGAACTGCTGTTGGAGGAACGCGTATATCTCGCTGAGGGTCAGCCGTTTGTTGGGCGAGTGCCTGATGGCCATGACGATGAGGGCTATGTAGGAGTAGGGTGGTTTTTCTTGGCGTCTGGTGGCAGGCGCCCGGCGCGCCGCCTCCTCGGTGGTTTGGTCCTCGGTCTTCATGCGTGCGGTGCGCGGCGCGTGCGCTTCGGAGCGCTGGTCGGAGCACAGTGCGCCGCCCACCGTGCGCCCGCGCCGCCCAGGCCCGCCCCCGACCCCCTCCGCCGCAGCGGCACTCCCACGCCGGCTCTACACACTCGCTTATTGGCAAGCCGTCTCATTATGCCCTACCTATTTGTACGGGTATAATTCAAAGCTGAATTTCAGAGCATCTCCGTGTTTTGTTTTTCAGATTTAGAAATCGCTAGATACAATTTTCCATCAATTGGTTGAGCTTTCGTATGGTGAGTGACTGACTACCTACCTACATCGTCAATTCTTAATCACTTTTAAAAACATCAGTCAGTAAAAACTTGCGGCGAATGTTGAAGACAGGTCGTTGCACTCCACGAGCCCCCAGTCCGCATCATCCACAATTCACAAACACTGAACAGAGGAAGCCCGCTTAGACAATAATATTTATCCGTCGCAAGGACGGCTGTCGAACGCGCGCTCTTGACCTAGCACAATTAAACCAAACATTTTACTAGATCTATAAAACAGTTATACGACGTTACACCAAATATTTACCATAAAGCGTAAACCAAAAGTTTTGCATTAAACTTGCCGGATTTATTTACTCGGGCTCGTAAACATAGGCCATTACAATTCAAGCTCTATCATGAACTAGTAAAGTTGCTTTTACGAACGAATCTTTCTAAATGTTGTTACGGGTATGGTCCGCACTAATAAAAACCGTAGCAGAAACAAACGAACGGTAGTAAACAAAAAGCAACTAAGAACCATTGAATAGTAAGAATCTTATTTGTAATAAAATTTTAGTCATCGCCTAAATGAATGAAAAGTTTTCAGCTGAATTGCTTGCATTGATAAGGGGTATTTAAGTGGTATCTCAAGCTAATGGAAATAAATATATGCTATTATAATCACCCTTGAAATATTCTAAGAAATTGAACTAATTAATAATAACTTATATTTTTCACTAAGGTAAATGTCCCAAGAAATTAAGAATCTTACAAATATTTAAAAAAACATTTGCTAGAAAAAAGGGACAGAAAATTATTTGGTTAGGTAGGTACAAGAAAATTATCAAAATAAATTAAATCGATTCTTCAAAAATCGTAAAAATAACACCAAAACAATCAGAACAAGGTTAAAGTTTAGCGAAACAAGTCGTCCTATCCAAACAAAACGCGTGCCGTTTGATCCCTTTTTTACATTCGTTACATCTTAGTAACATAACGTGATGTCGTATTCGAATAAATATTTCGTAGTTATGGAATCTATTTATACTGACGGATGCGCCGGCGTCGGCCGACCGGGTTGCTGATCGCTGTTATAAACAGCTCTGTAGCTGTAGTAAACATCAAATACTATCACTATTGTACCGATTATAATGCATTAGCCGTTATTACCCAGTGAGGTAGATCATCTTTGGGGTAGGTTTTCTTTTTGCATTTGAAATTACAAGATCCGTTAGAGTTTCCCCCTTATTAATAAAAAGTTTCACCCTAAACTCCGTTTTAAAGTGTCGTACTCTTTAAAACTGTTTATTGAGTGTACCGTAAACCGTTAGGTAGATAGAGATATTTTTTCATATGGTATTAAAAACTATCTTATCTTACCATGTTTTGCGAGGATGGACGAATAGATATGAAAACTACAGACTACTGCATATTTTTTATAAATTTAGATATAGTTTAAGGCCCAGGGAAAAATCTTATTTATTTATTGATAAAGGTACACCAACAGCTTAGGATAGCTTTTCTCGGTTTTTTAAAAGGACATGTAGTGATAAAGTTTTCAGTGAAAAATTTAAAGGAACGCGAGCGTATCCTTGGAAAATAAGCTAGAATAGTCATAAAAGCAAGCTAAAATGTCTTACACGAACTTAGCAACCATAAAATGGTTAGATATTTCCTCTCTCTATCGTTTTAATTTTAACACACGCAAAATGGAGATGTGGTTCCAAGCCCCGCCCCCATCATGGCGGGATGCGTCCGCGCAAATCATTGCCTGATCTTGAACCAGCTCTCCATTCATCACGGTTTACGACCGTGGAATGTTTGAATTGAGGTTTTTACGGTTTCACCTTAATTTTTGATATGCAATTAGACATTTACTGTTACATTTCACGATCGCGTGTACGTATTATGATTCGATATGTCCGAGCTGATATATTATGTTCAGCGAAAAAGCACAATGTAGGAAAGCCAAAGGACTAGAGTTTTTACTGTGTGATGATCACTTATTAAGTTTCCTTTTTGAAAATCATCATCATCATAATCATCATCTCAGCCATAGGACGTCCACTGCTGAACATAGGGGAGCAACACTGGGGAGCCCAATGCTTTCCATGTTGCCCGGTTGGTAGCGGCCTGCGTACAGCACTTTTTGAAAATGTAATGATTTAAATCTCTAGCTTAGCTAGTATTAACAATGTACCTGATTTACGCCCGTGCATTCCTGAAATACAGCCAAAAGCTCTTGCAAAGTGAAAACAAACATACGTAATAATTATGATTATTTTTCCATTAAATACATTCTATATGGTATTTTTAGTGACTTCACCCTATACTCGGCCATGGGGAATGAACTCTCACTCTCACATGTAACTTTTTTGGTGTAGTGGTTAGAACGGGCTGCTTTGCCGATTACGGACCAGGGACGGGTTCGATTCCCGGCCAGGCAGAAATTGAAATGATGCAATTTAATTTCTATGATGGGTCTGGGTGTTACTATGTTTAATATGTAATGTACCTATCTACTTAAAAAAAAGAAAATATGTAGTTTCCGTTAAGCTAGTACCATAAAGCAAGGATCATCATCATCATCATTATCATTTCAGCCATAGGACGTCCACTGCTGAACATAGGTTTCCCCCAATATTTTCCATGTTGATCAATTGGTAGCGGCCTGCGTCCAGCGCTTCCCTGCTACCTTGATGTCGTCGGTCCACCTTGTGGGTGGATGTCTGTCCCTCGCTGCGTTTTACGGTACGCGGCCTCCATTCCAAAAACTTACTGCCCCATCGGCCGTCAGTTCTGCGTACTATGTGCCCTGCCCATTGCCACTTCAGCTTACTAATCCGTCGGGCTATGACAGCGACTTTAGTTCGTATGCGGATCTACACATTTCTAATTCGATATCGTAAAGAAACACCGAGCATAGCCCTGTCCATAGCACGCTGTGCAAGTTTGAGCTTCTGTATGGGCCTATGGTAGTACAGTCAGCGTCAAATAGTTCGTGACACCCGAAGATGCCAAAAAACAACACAACCTTATTCCAATTTTTCCTTATTAAAAAAAAAATTGTAACAAACATGTGTTGCGAACTTTTTAGGGTGTCACGGACTATTTGACGCTGACTGTACTACACTCGATTCGCACGTTAGATAAAGGTTTATAGAAAAATTACCTTAGAGTAGGCGCACACCGTTGATTTTTCGTCGGCCGATAGTTTAGTCGGGCAGTTGATCAGTATGGGCATGTATGGGAGTGCGCACACTACGCCGATTCGATTTGGCCAATTTTTCATACAATTTGAAATCGGGCACAACTATCTGCCAACTAAAAATCAACGGTGTGCGCCTACTCTTATTCGTTGCAAGTAAATCATTTGGAACCCTGGTGCGAGTTTAAATCTCGATTTTCAAGTAAGACCACACGTCAGCAGTTCTATGGATGAATTATACTGATGATAACTATTTGATTTAATTACCTTTATCCTGATCGACTAGTAGTAGTTTAGTTTCAGAGCAGTTGGTGAAAAAAACGGCATTAACAACTGAGAGTTCAAACCAGGAATTTAACCCAGGAATTCAGGATTAAGAAAGTTTTAATCCAAAAGAAACGTAGATAAGTGAGTTTTCAGCTGGAGCAAATTTTTCTGCTTGTATAAGTAGGTGGTAGAGCTTATTAAGACTGCCTGGTTAGCTAACATCATGAGTTATCGAAGCCTGTCGCCATAACAACATTGTTGTGTTTCGAACTTCATCTATCCATGAGGATTTCGAGTGAAGCTCGCTTCCACCTTCGACGTGATAATCTACACTCGGCATCAAAGAAATCGCACCTCCCGCGATATTAACTTCAAATCTTTTATTCTGACACAATCATGGTGCTCCACTAATATTAGCGTTATTTGAAATCCCATTGAATAAACTTAAAGAAAAATATAAATACTTATTTTTTTAAAAACAGCTGCTATAAAATGTGACTTGAAAAAAGCCAATGCAACTCAACTCTGGGACCAATTAGACCAATTTTTGTGGATATGAAATCAAATAATGATCTAAGATATTATTTTAGCGATTAATCCCAATTTAACAGTTTTATACCATAAGAGTTAGTTCAAGCGTAACTACCTTTCGGTATAAGAAGAGACACTGGGTACTTCTAAAGACACATTTTTTGGAGAAAATCCTTTACTTTTGATGAAATGAAGTTTAGTGAAAGTGATTGCGCGGGAGGTGCAATTTTTTAAAGCCGAGTGTATGCGCATTTTTGTGCTAAAATATGTTAAGTAAGTATGCAAATAAATGATAAATAAATAATCACTCTTAACGCTAAAAAATAACTGTGATAATCAATTTCATGATGTGAGATGCAGCAGGCTTCCCTTGTAGTTTAAAAATTGGTACCTGTGACGCATTTTTACAAACTCATCAATATAGATTTGTTTCTACAGAAATGAAATATTATTACTAATGAAAAATTGCAGTAACCTTTTCCTGTTCGAAAAATGGTTTGTTATGAGAAATGGTGTATGGAATAAAACATTTTTAACTTTGATTTTTGATAAAATATTAAAAAATACAAATTCCTACTATTTTATTTAATGTGATAGCTACTTGCATTTTTTTTAATTAATTTTATTTTAAATCGTGTGAAAAGAATGTTCATGAGTAGGTAATATTCATTATTTTTAAATATCTCAGTTTAGATTGACCTAGTTAGTTATCTGGTAATTTATTTTTAGTCTACGAATTGTATAAAGTAACTTATTCCTGAAACAACCTACTTATAGAAAGAAGACTTCGCTTAACTCTGCAAAAAGCGGCAGCAGTCTC